AACAGAGGTATAAACCAATGGAACAGAACAGAGGCATTGGAGGCAACACAGCATGTCTACAATCATACGATCTTTGATAAACCTGACAAAAACAAGCAATGGGCAAAGGATTCCCTGTTTAATAAATGGTGTTGGGAAAACTGGCTAGCCATGTGCAGAAAGAAGAAACTGGACCCCTTCCTGACGCCTTACACCAAAATTAACTCCAGATGAATTAAAGACTTAAACATAAGACCTGGCACCATAAAAACCCTAGAAGAAAATCTAGGCAAAACCATTCAGGACCTAGGAGTAGGCAAGGACTTCATGAACAAAACACCAAAAGCATTGGCAACAAAAGCCAAAATAGACAAATGGGACCTAAACAAACTCCACAGCTTCTGCATGGCGAAAGAAACAGTCACTAGGGTGAATCAGCAACCAACAGAATGGGAAAAAAATTTTGCAGTTTACCCATCTGACAAAGGGTTGATATCCAGAATTTACAAAGAACTCAAACAGATTTACAGGAAAAAAACAAATAAACCCATTCAAAAATGGGCAAAGGATATGAACAGACACTTTACCAAGAAGAACACATACATGAGGCCAACAAACATGTGAAAAAATGCTCATCATCACTGGTCATTAGAGAGATGCAAATCAAAACCACATTTAGGTACCATCTCACGCCAGTTAGAATGGCGATCAATAAAAAAATCTGGAGACAACAGATGCTGGAGAGGATGTGGAGAAATAGGAACACTGTTGGTGAGAGTGTAAATTAGCTCAACCATTGTGGAAGACAGTGTGGCGATTCCTCAAGGACCTAGAAATAGAAATTCCATTTGACCCAGCAATCCCATTACTGGGTATATATCCAAAAAACTATAAATCATTCTATTATAAGGACACATGCACACAAATGTTCATTGCAGCACTGTTTACAATAGCAAAGACCTGGAACCAACCCAAATGCCCATCGATGATAGACTGGACTGGGAAAATGTGGCACATATACACCATGGAATATTATGCAGCAATCAAAAATGATGAGTTTGTGTCCTTTGTAGGGACATGGATGAATCTGGAGAACATCATTCTCAGCAAACTGACACAAGAACAGAAAATGAAACACTGCATATTCTCACTCATAGGTGGATGATGAAGGATGAGAACACATGGACACAGGGAGGGGAGTACTACACACTTGGGTCTATTCAGGGGAATAGGAGAGGGACAGCGGGGCAGAGGAGCTGGGGAGGGATAGCATGGGGAGAAATGCCAAATGTGGGTGAAGGGGTGGAAGGCAGCAAAACACACTGCCGTGTGTGTACCTATGCAACTATCTTACATGTTCTGCACATGTACCCCAAAACCTAAAATGCAATAAAAAATTCAAAATTAAAAAAAAATTGTGTGCAACTAGCTTTTTCATATAACGACTTCTTTTCCTTTGTGCAGACATCCAGTAGTAGAATTGCTGCATCAAGTGGTAGTTTTACTTTCAGTTCTTCAAGGAAGCTTTACACAGTTTTCCATAGTTGCTGTACCAGTTTACGTCCCACCAGCAGTGTAGAAGTGTTCTCTGATCACTGCATCTGCACCAACATCTACTGTTTTTAAAATTTTTTTTGATTATAGCTATTTTTGCAAGAGTGAGGTTGTATCTCATTGTGGTTTTTATTTTCATTTTCTTGATCATTTTTCATAAGTTTTTGGCCATCTGTATATCTTTTTTTTTTTTTTTTTTTTTTTTTTTGAGACGGAGTTTCGCTCTTGTTACCCAGGCTGGAGTGCAATGGCGCGATCTCGGCTCACTGCAACCTCCGCCTCCTGGGTTCAGGCAATTCTCCTGCCTCCGCCTCCCGAGTAGCTGGGATTACAGGCACGCGTCACCATGCCCAGCTAATTTTTTGTATTTTTAGTAGAGACGGGGTTTCACCATGTTGATAGTCTCGATCTCTCGACCTCGTGATCCACCCGTCTCGGCCTCCCAAAGTGCTGGGAATCTGTATATCTTTTTTTGAGAATTATCTATTCGTGTCCTTAGCCCACTTTTTGATGAGATTGTTTTGTCTGTACTGATTTGTTTGAGTTTGTTGTAGATTTTGGATGAGTCCTTTGTCAGATGTGTAGATTTTGAAGATTTTCTCCCCGTTTGTAGGTTGTCGGTTTACTCTGCTGACTGTTCTTTTTGCTGTGCAAAAGCTCTTTAGTTTAATTAAGTCCCAATTATTTATCTTGTTTTTTATTGCATTTGCTTTTGGGTTCTTGGTCATGAAATCCTTGCTTAAGCCGATGTCCAGAAGCTTTTTTTTTAAGTGTTATCTTCTAGAATTTTTACAGTTTCAGGTCTTAGATTTAAGTCCTTAATCCATCTTGAGCTGAGTTTTGTATAAGGTGAGATATGAGAATCCAGGTTCATTCTCTTCCATGTTGCTAGCCAATTATTCCAGCAACATTTGTTGAAAAGGGTGTTCTTTCCCTATTTTATGTTTTTGTTTGCTTTGTCAAAGATCAGTTGGCTGTAAGCATCTGGGTTTATTTCCGGGGTTTCTATTCTGTTCCATTTGTTTCTGTTCCTGTTTTTATGCCAGTATCACACTGTTTGTTGACTATGGCTTTATAGTATAGTTTGAAATTAGGTAGTGCGATGTCTACAGATTTGTTCTTTTTGCCTAGTCTTGTTTTGGCTATGTGAGCTTTTTTTCAGTTTGGTTCTATGTAAATTTTAGAATTGTTTTTTCTAATTCTGTGAAGAATCATGGTAGTATTTTGATGGGAATTGCATTTAATTTGTAGACTGCTTTTGGCAGTATGGTCTTTTTCACCATATTGATTGTACCCATCGATGAGCATGGGATGTGTTTCCATTTGTTTGTCTCATCTATAATTTTGTTCAACAGTGTTTTGTATCTTTTGTAGTTTTCCTTGCAGAGGTGTTTTGATTTCTTGGTTAGGTACATGCCTAAGTATTTTATTTTTGCAGCTATTGTAAAATAGGTTGTGTTCTTGATTTGATTCTCTGCTTGGTTGCTGTGGGTATATAGAAGAGCTATTGATTTGTGTACATCAATCTTGCATCCAGAAACTTTGCTGAATTCTTTCATCCATTCTAGGCGCTTTCTGGAGGAGGTCTTTAGGGTTTTCAATGATTATATTGTCAGCAAACAGTGACAATTCAACGTCCTCTTTACTAATTTGGATGCCATTGATTTCTTTCTCTTGTCTAATTGCTCTGGCTGGGACTTCCAGTATTATACTGAAGGACAGTGGTGAGAGTGGGTATCTTTGTCTTGTTCCAGTTCTCAGAGGTAATGCTTTCAACTTTTCCCCATTCAGTATTATGCTGGCTGTGGGTTTGTCACAAATGGCCTTTATTATTTTGAGGTATGTCCCTTGTATGCCAATTTTACTGAGGCTTTTAATCATAAAGGGATGCTGGATTTTGTTGAATGCTTTTTCAGTATCTACTGAGACAATCATGTGATTTTTGTTTTTAATTCTGTTTATGTGATGTATCACATTTATTGACTTGCATATGTTAAACTGTCCTTGCATCCTGGTATGATACCCATTTAATCATGGTGGATTATCTTTTTGGTATGCTGTTGGATTATGTTAGCTAGTATTTTGTTAAGAAGCATTCTCAAGTGAAGTATAATCTCAAGTATTCTCTGGGGAAGTGTTCTGGAAGAGATAAACCACATTTATGCTATAGAGAAATTGTAATTCTTTAACTCTTCCTGAAAATGAACTCAAATCTTGTGTTCATAATTTCTTATTTCAAAACAAAGAAACAAAGTTGAGGCAAAAGGATTAAGTAACTTTTTATACCCACACTATATGCACTGCTATGCCTGCATAAACACAGCACAGGTACACAGCATTGCTCTTGGCTCTCTGCTCCAAATAATTCCTCCCCTACATTAGGACTGACAACAACTATGTATAATGAAAGATCAGGTCACCACCAAAATGTTTCCAGTGTCATCTGTGAATATAGCCAACTTTATCCTGATAAGAGGACCACTGAACCTGTGCTTTTTCTAATTATTTACAGAAGCTTTGTGCTTTAGTGCCTTCATGTCCCTGCTCCATTATTTTGGCCTATGGGGTTAAAGATGAGTGGATTGGTGAAGTAGAAATGGAGACTGAGTGTCTGAATTCATCCCTCTGTTTTGGTATTGTTGTGAACACTAAACAAAAATCTGAATTCTTATTCACTTTATGTTTCAACTTAGAATCAAGTATGAATATGTGCTTTCATATTGCTAATTTTATGTTCTGAGTTTTATTTTTCTCTCTCCAAACAAGAACAAAATGCTTGGAAAGTCTCAACAGATCACATTATTCTTCTAATTTCTATTTCTTGTTTTACACATAAATGCAACAGTAATTTGACTGTATGGCACTGAAGTAATTAGCTTCACATTTTCTCCACAAATACACAACTGACCTCAATATGTTCCTTAAGGTTGTTTCTTCCCTTGGAGAGATTTTCTCTCTTATAAACTCTAGGTCTCAAACATCCATAGATCTTCCTTACCGTCTTCTCCTTTGTCACTTCTGCTTATCATTATGAGGACAAACCGGGACTCATGGAATTTTATTTTCTTTAATTTCTTTCTTACATTATGCACAAAGGAAGGAAAGTCTGAGAACTGATTAATAATTTATAACACTTTTTATTTAGCACATTCACAAAAGAAATGGATCTAAATTATCAATAATTAATCACTTTTCTCTGTTTTACTGTGATAACATATTAAAACCTCAGTACTGGAAAAGTATTAGCATATATGGCAGTCAATACAAGTGTTAGAGTATGAATAATTGCAAATATATTTGTACAATGACCTGAACAACTCTCCTTAATGGAGGTTGAATGCGCATGGGGATATTGAGGGAATCAGAAGATGTGATGAGAGGTTAGAGGAGACATAATAGTGGGAATGTCCTTGATAAAAAAGAGTTACAGATGACAGCAGATCTGTAGCCAGACGACCTAGCATTCTTCAGACAGGAATGAAGCAGATCTGGTACGGGGGTGGCAAAGAAACAATTGATTTGCTAGCTGAAGTAGTATTGAGGTTCTTTATATCGCCAACAGATTTCAGATTAAAGTTCTGTAAAATTGTGGTTAGGAATAAAAATATCTCCATGCGGGCGAGTCCCTCTCCAGCACAAATTCGTTTCCCTGAAGGTAACAAAGAGAGAAAGTAGTTACTCCTTGTATTTAACTGTTACTGTCACAAACAGTCTGTTTGTGACTTGCAGAAACAGAATATGCAGTAAATAATTGATGAATGACTGGGTAGATGAATGAACACATGGATGAATAGATGGATGAAATGATGAATGGAATAATGGATGGTGGGACAAACAAATGTATAAAAATGGAGACACTTGCTCTCTGTCTAACATCTAATATCAATAGGCATCTTTCACTCAACAAATATTTAACAAATACTCATAACAATCACTTCATTAGTTGTTTCCACATTAAAACAGCTCTTTTGTCATTTTCAGTTTCCATCTGTCATTATATAAATACAAGCATATCTCTGTTTCCTCTTTCAAGCCTGATATTCCATGATCTTTCCTTCCACATTTCACATAATTTATTCTCAGCTCTAGCCATACACACTCTATATCAACGTTGAACACACATGAACTTTCAAGTTTCATATCCTGTTGTTCGTTTTGGCTAAGATACACCTTTATTAGGCTACATTCAGGACATAGGTCCAATTTTATTTCATCTTCACACTATTTATAATACCCTGAAGTAATAAAATCATACCCTCTCTGGTTTTCCTCAACATCATACTCATACTTTCATTAAAGCATAGATCACCTGGAATCATAATTCTGTATTTATTTATCTATTGTGCTAAAATGTGAATTCTTGGGTGGTCATGGTGGCTCACGTCTGTAATCGCAGCACTTTGAGAGGCCAAGGTGGTGGGTAGATCACTTGAGGTCATTAGTTTGAGAACAGCCTGGCCAATATGGTGAAACTCTGTCTCTACTTAAAATGCAAAAATTAGCTGGGTATGGTGTGGTGGGTGGGCACCTGTAGTCCCAGCTACTCTGGAGGATTTGACAGAAAAATTTCTTGAACCCAGGAGGCAGAGAGCTGAGATCATGCCACTGCACTCCAGCCCATGCAACAGAGCAAGATTCCATCTCAAAAAAGAAAAGAAAAAGTAAATTCTTGAATGAAGGTCTCTGTCCTTGTCATCTTGGTATCTACAGTGCCAAATATAGAGCAGACATAAAAGGTCAAAGAATAGTGGGTGAAGGGGAGAAAGGAAGCAAAACACACTGCCACGTGTGTACCTATGCAACTGTCTTGTATGTTCTGCACATGTACCCGAAAACCTAAAATGCAATCAAAAATCAAAAAAAAAAAAAAAAAAGGTCAAAGAATAAAGGAAGAAGACTCCATGGCCAGAGACTCAGCACACAAATGCAGGTGTGAAAATCAAGAATACAGGATATATGATCATGACTGGAGGAAGGCAGAGTGATCTGGAATCACCATAAAGTAACCTCATGCCTTGCCAATGTTTCCTGAACCCCATGATTATTTAGCAAATGTCTGACGTGCTTGATCTAAAGTAAATGTTCTGCTCTGTCATTCATTAACTCCTTCAAAATGCCCAGCCTTCCCTTAGATTTTATCACCTCCTTTGAAGGAGATCAAACATTCTCTGAGTTACTTACTCCATTTTGTGTCTCACTGTGTTGTATGAGAGAGCAAGAAGCATGCAGGTTTCCCCTCTATTCCCTACCCAGGGACTGTGCTTTTCTCTCCCAAAAGTCCCGGTCTAACTAAATTACAATGACCTGTTTACTCTTCTTCCCAAACTCAGGAGTAAGCCTCTTAAGAATTCATTCTGTTCTCGTTGAAACTTGTGCCCCTAGAGCTCAGCCTAGGAGGTGAGGAACACCATGTAGAAAACACTCAATGCAGTTGTGGGCTTAGATACATTTCTCGTGTCAGTTAAGGAAAGATCAAATGAAGTTTCCCTTCTAGGAGGAGCTGTTGGGTACCTTATTGATGTATCTAACGGTAGAGTTCAACCAACCTAGATGTTAGTTTTCTCAGTTAGGAACAAAGGAATCAACTCCTCAAAGCCCCACTATCTGGCCCAGTAATGAGGGTGTATTGTGAGGGTGGAGAGCATGGGTATTGGGAGTGGTGCTCTTGATCATGAACAAATAGCAATTCTACCAGCCCCAGAGGAGGTGCCATGTAAATTGCAACTGATTCCCAAGAGTTATCTCTTTCCCTTAAATACAGAGGGAGATAAGTTTCTATTACCTGCTGAGAAAGGCATGAAGTGGTCACTTTTCTTAAAGTTGCCATTTTTATCCAGAAAGTGGCCAGGGTCAAAGGTCTTAGGATTGGGAAATTCTTTGTCACTGTGCAGCACTGAAGTCAGTGATGTCATTATGGCTGTGCCCTGGAAGTAACAAAACAGATAATCTGATTTATAAAGAAATCTGGAAGTGAGAAGAAGTAGTGGACATCACATAGCCCCATATCGTTGATCTTTAGATGAGGAAACTCAGGTCCAGCCAGACACAGTAATTTACATGGATGAGTTTAAGGTCAGTGACAGAATCTTGCTGAAGAGCTTTCCAAGCACATTTGAAGTCTTACATCTTGGGTACTTGTATGTAACCTTATGAAGGTGTTCTCCTGATCAAGTTTGGATGCCCTTGTCTGTCCCCACTTGCTGCTCTATTTCATCTCTTCAAATTTCACATCTTGTATTTAGATTATGTAGATTATGATATAAAATGGAAGTCTCTGTTGATATCGGAAATGTCCAGAGTATCTATCTGTTAATGAAACTTTTGTAAATAAACATCTAATCTATCTGAAAATGATGTCTTCTGAGATGATAACCACAAGTGCAATAACAAGTAACAACTATGGAGTGTTTATTATTGCCATCTATAGATTAATGTTAGTTTAAAACACTGAAAAGATGATGAAATTAGAAAAATTATCACTTTGTCACAATTCAAGTCAGGATCATCAGGTCAGGCAAGGATCATCAATTAAAGCTAGAACCACCCAGTTGCTCAGGAGACTGAGGCAGGAGAATTACTCCGGAGGTGGAGGTTGCAGTGAGCTGAGATCACGCCACTGCACTCCAGGCTGGTGACAGAGTGAGACTCTCTTTCAATTAAAAAAGAAAAGAAAAGCAGAACCTCTGCAATGGTGAGATCTGGAGGATACCACCATATTATGTGAGGAACTTAGCATGAGCAATAATGGCACATGTGACATTTTATGCTCATCCCTCATCAGTGTGATTCAGTGGAATATTTAAAGCACCTATGTAGTTTTCTTGCCAAAATTGTAGCTGGAATCTGCCTCTAGAAAACAGTCACACAAAACCAGTCTGAGGAACATTGTAAATGACTGCTGGTCTCAAGAAGGTCAACTGATTGAAAAGAAACAAACAAGGAAAGGAACTTTCCTTGATTATAGGAGGTGATAAGATCAACACAAATAAATTATATGCTTGTTCCTTGCCTGGATAGTAAACTGCAGAAGAAAAAAGCCATAAAAATATTCTCGGAAAATTGGGAAAATTTAAATTAGGCTGTATTTTTATTTGAACAATAATTACTGAGTATGAATACTCTATTATTGTGTATAAGAAAAATCTTTGTTTTGGGGCATACATACTGCAGTATTGAGGTTTAGATAGATTCCAGTATTGAGAAAGACAAGCCTCTCCTGGTTGTGTGCTTTAGTAAAAACTGTGTGGATTGAAGTCCTAACTCTTATAGAAAATCAGCGATAATTAGGGAAAAACCCATTGCATCTTTATAAGTTATCAATTCTGTCTTCTCCAGAGGATGACATTAGTAATGAAACCTTATCAATCTCATTGTTTTCCTTCATGAAAATATAACTTGTATTATTTTTAATTGCATAATAATAAGTGGAATTGTGTGGCTTATAGCACAGCAATTAAAACATCTGGATGAATACAGAAACCATATGATAGAAGGTATTGTAAAGCTGCAAAGACTAAAATTGGTTTCCAGATTACAAAGGCAAAAATTGGTCCCAGTGATAGAAGAACCTCAGAGAGGTAAGTCCATACCTACAGTCAATATTTGACTGTGTTCACATCAAGTTCAATTCTGATTCAGGACAGGAGATGTTGTCATTATTACTGCCTATGAGAGAGGAATTATTCCATTCTCTGAAATTCTGCATTTTTTATATATTATATCTGGTACCAAGCCATAGGTTTTCAGGCATTTCAAGAATACAACTAAGTGGTCACAAGAAGAAAAGTGGAAGAAAGGGAAAGCAGTAGAAACAGGCCCACATTAGGAACATTTCTCACTTAGTTTTATGCAGCCAGCATTGTCTTGTTATCATAACTCTGACAAGAAACTTTTGAAGGAGAAAAGTTGCAGACAAAATATCTTATGAATATAAATACAGAAGTCCTAAACAATAAGTAACAGAGCAAATACAGCTTTTTCTGTATACTTATACATATTTAGTGAGGGACGTGAGGCCAGTACATGCAATCAGACAGATGCAGAAAATCAATTTGATAAAATTGCACATGTATTCATGACAAAAATTTATATAAAAATAAGAGAAGAGGGAAAATTTTCCTATCTGATAAAGAACATCTACTAACATCTTAAAGATTTCTGATAAAGAGTATCTACTAAAATAGTTAAAGCGTCATTCTTAGTAGTGAAATATTAATATTCTTATACTCTACCCTCCAGCAGATCAGAAATAAAATAAAAGGATGCCCTCTATCACCAATTCTGTTCAGTGCTATCCTGGAAAGCCTAGCCAGTGCAATAATGCAATAAAGATAAATTAAGGACAAAGTAATTAGAAAATAAGAAATAAAATACATATTAACCTAGATAGCAAGATAATGTACATAGAAATTCCAAGAATATCCACAGGTAAATTATTAGCAATGATCAGTAAATTTAGGAAAGTTGTTAGATATAAGGTCATTAGAATAGTAAAATTAGATACAATTACATATACCAGTTACAAAGAAATAAAAATTTATAACAAGAAAATATTAATTATCTAGGAAAAACATAATGATAGAGTTGTAAGCCACTGTACTGAAACGAAAACATTTCTGAGAAAACGGAATAAAGCTCAGTAAGTTGTGAGCATAACCATATTCATGAATTTAAAAACTCAATGCATGAACATGCTAAGTCTTTCCAGATTGAACTATACATTGAATGTCACTTTGATAAAAATCTCAGAAGAGTGTTTTAGGAAATTGGCACGCTGATTATTTTCAACAATTATTTGAAAATGTAAACACCTAAGATTAGCCTATTAAGGAGACCTATTATAGGTGGGGAGTTGGGGAGAGATAGCATGGGGAGAAATGCCAGATATAGGCGATAGGGAGGAAGGCAGCAAATCACACTGCCATGTGTGTAACTATGCAACAATCTTGCATGTTCTTCACATGTACCCCAAAACCTAAACTGCAATTCAAAAAAAGAAAAGAGCTTTATAAATCTTTATAGCCCCAAACAAAAGAACAGAAAGTCCATCAAGCTGCCACATATATGAGTATTGGACTTCTCTCATCTTGTATTTTTAGAGGATTGGAGCCAAACTGGCACTTTGGAAATTTTGGAAGCACAGAAATATGGTGTAAGAGAAACAAGCTTACCTTGGGGATGAGGTAATTTCTGAACTTAATGTCAGTGGTCACTGCATGGGGCACACTGGTGGGGACAAGGTCAATGTATCTCTGGATCTCGTGCATGACAGCATCTGTATAAGGCATGTGGCTCCTATCCTGCATGCAGGGGCTCCTGTGTCTGCCAATTACATGATCAATCTCTTCCTGGACTTTAGCTGACAAGACACAAGGAAGAACTGATGGAAACGGAGATACATAGAACATTTATCATAGCAATTCATGGCCACATTAAACATCACATACAAATCCCAACAACATTACAAACATGAGTTACATGTCCAGAAGTACAACCAGCCATATAAAGAGAATTGCCATAAAATAGATACATATCATTCTCCTACAAACTAGTAATTACAGTACACAAGTACATTTCTATAAATTAACACACATGACAACTAATGCAAATGTAAGTAATAAATTATTTTAAAAATAAACAGAACACAATAAGTCAAGAAATTACAGTGCTTGTAAACAGAAAAACCAAGGATCAAATAGTATATGTATTGCCAAAATAATACCTGAGGTATACTGTTAAATTGTAATGGTTTTATAAATATATCTGTGTTTGGGTTTTTTTGTGCGTTCATGTGTGTGTGTGTGGGGAGGTGCAATTAGCAATGGTGCTCTCTTCACTCTTCCAGTTCCCAATTATGGCCACTTTGAACATGTTAGCAGCTTCCTCTGAAATGTATATTCATGTTTCTAAATAATCACTATCTTTTCATATTTTTACTTAACAATTTTTAGACAATATTTAATGATTTTCTGGTATGGGAGATGAGAATTTTAATCTCCATCTCTATTCCATTTATAGACACACACCCACAAAGTTATATGTACACACACACAATTCTCCTACTTATCGGAATATATTTAGACCACAATTCCAGGTTATATCACTATTCATTATTTGCATCATTCTGACACACACACACACACACCTATTTATACATACACATTCTTCGTTGGCTCTTTAGTTGAATCACAATTTTATATGCTTCAAGTTAGACTATTTGCACATGCTCAGGTACATGTTTGCAACTCCCAGTAATAATTCCCCAATTATACGGAAATCTCAGACTATCAATCACATCTCTTTGCTTCTTGACATCTCCTGTATATGTGTTATCCACCTGGTCTTTTCTGAAGTAGTTGTTTTCCAGGACTGGTGTCCAGCAATCTGTCTGATACTCTCATTCTCTTACATGAGGTCTCCTGATTCCTGGCACCTATGATTTCTACTGACTTGGTTTCAGACATGAGATGGAGCACAACCTCCAGTATTGGGGAAAGTTAGTATAGAGCGTGAAATTTGTAGCAAGCACACAGGTCTATTTTTTTTTATTAATACACAAGATACTATGCTTGAGAATTCTGATGCTGTCTGAATGCTGATATTTTATACATGACCTAATATATGTCTCTGAAAGATTTTCCCTTTACTTCTGGTGCTCCAAAATTCTATGACCCTGTGTCCTGTGGTGCATGTTTTAATTTCATTTACTCTGCTGAACACTTGTAACTTACTATTAACATGGCAAAATATGGGGGTCTTTTCTCTAGACTTGTTTCTTCTCTGGAGAATATCTAGCTGATATTCCTGAATATCAGGAAGCAAGATGGAGAAAAATGCTGAGTCTTTGAGTCTGAGGAGTAGATCTTTCCCACACCTTTTTTTCTGGCTTCACACCTCACACTTTTCTGGCCCCATAAATTATTCCCAAGTACAGAGCTTCTTAGCCTCAGTTTCTCTGGAGAGTGTGCCTCACTTTTCCACTGGGAAAAAAGCAGGTACCTGATAAAAGGAGTTATGGAGAAAACCTGGGAGAACCTCCCTTTTCAGCCTCATTCTCTACCTTCTTTGGCCCTTGATGCCTCCAAATACTCAACCTTATAAGAATCATAGTGACACATATTAGCTTTTCCTCTTGATAAATCTTCCTCTGCTGACACTTAGGTTACCACTTCATTCTCTATGCTATGTAAATTGTCAATTCTCCATTGTCTCTCTGTATTTTAGAAATTTGCCAAAGCCTTGTTGGCTGTTTTCTATTCTCCTCTCTTTTTACTTCAGCAGGCTAATTTTAATTTATAATTGAGTTATTGAAATTTCAGTGGGATCCTGACATGGGGGAAAAGGTATGCTGTCTGCTGCAAAACAGGAAGTATTTAAAGGTAAATTCTAGGGAAATGTAGAAATTACTCTAAAGGTAAATTGTAAATTCTAAAGAAAAGTTGTATTGGAAAGATGCAATTATTATCCCCCCCTTCCAAAAATTCCTATTTGGTAAAACAGCAGTTGTATGAAACACACTTCTAGAATAATAAAATTCCTTTACGTATGGCCTCTGCTTAAATGAAACCACCTTTCTTAGGAGTCTAACTTTTAGATTACTTCCCAAATTGGAATTTGTCTCAGGATGCCTCACTACCATTCTAGAATTTCCACCTATGCTTCAACAAAGATTGTTTGTATCTCCCTACTGCAGCATTAGAGCATGGAATTTTCAAAATGAGAAAAGATATCTTCAAGAATGTACCTACTGTTCAAAGTGGACTTTTCATAATAAAACCAACATTCAATACCAGGCCAAATTATGTTGGCTTTTCCCACCACAAATGACCTCTGCTGAATTCCAGACACTTAATCAGGGCTTTATTTATTTTGCTGCTGCCATCCTGTTTTTACTGATCTTGGTCATCCTCCTCCATTGTGCAAAGATGTACTTTTTAATGATGTCATCAAATTTAGACAGATTATAGCTGATGACAGAGAAACTTAAAGAATGAAGCTTCTCTAAGTGAAACAGAATGGAGAACACTGGCACCATCTTCTCAGCATTGTTCTGAAATTTACTTTATTCATCATCTGTGGTCCTACCTGTGACCTCTGGGTGCTTCAGCAGGAGTAGGAGTCCATATCTCAGAGTGGTGCTTGTTGTCTCTGTTCCAGCAACAAATAGATCAGCTACAGTGCCAACCAAGTTTTCAGTAGTGAATTCAGACTCTTGGTTGTCCTTTTCCTAGAAGTGATTTCATGCTTTATCTGAGAAATTATGTGCCAGCATATCTAATTACACTAAATTTTTAAAAAACATACTATGTTATAAAGTTAGCCAGAAGAGAAACTGGGTGGTACAGTATTAGAAAAAATAACTGTATGGTATGGCAGAAACTGCAGATCAGTTGACTCAAACTTTATTTCCTGATAGACCTGCAAATTCCATTCATGAAATCATTTGCTGCTTAGTTTAGTTAAAAAGAATTTTTATTTCCCCAGAAATATAAGCAGAAGTACACTGATGCCCTGTCTTAGTTCAATTTGTGTTATATAACAGAATACTGTAAACTTGGTAATTTATAAAGAAAATAAATTTATTTCTGAAGATTCTAAAGACTGGGACATCCAAGAGCATGGCATTGGCCTCTGGCAATTGCCTTCATGCTATTTCATTGCATGGCAAAAAGTAGAAGGACAAGGAAGGGTAAGAGTGAGAAAACACAAAAGAGCCACACTCACATTGATGACATACTGTCAAGAACCACACAACTCTTGCAGTAATAATATGAGTATACTTATAAGGTCAGAAGACTGATGACCTAATCATGTCTTGTTAGGCTGCATCTTCCAACACTGTTGCACTGGGCAATCATTTTTAGTGCATGAACTCTAGGGGACACAATCAAACCAGAACATGAATCTTCTTTTATTTTCTTCTTATTACTCAAAACACAAATGTGAAGGAGAATGTAAGATTGACATCATCTAGGGACATGAGTATTTGGTCATAGTCATCAAGACTTTCATTCTAAATATGGTGAAAAAAAAAAGGAGACACTTGACTCTCTGATACTTCAGGGCTACCATATTATTTCTAATCTAGTCCACCATAAGACTTCTTGTATTTGAGGTATATAAACAAACTATTTGGTTAAGCTCTTGATATAGTTTGGATAATAAATACTTGTCTCCCCAAATCTTTAGTTGAAATTCAATCTCCAGTGTTGTATTTGGGACCCAGGGAGAGGTGACTGGATCATGGGGGTAGATTTCTCATGATTTTTTCCTTTGATGCTATCCTGAAAATAAGTGAGTTAACATAAAATCTGGTTGTTTAAAACTGTTTCTCCAACTTGCTTCTTCTATTGCCATGTGATGTGCCTGTTGCTGCTTTGCCTTCTGCAATGAGCAAATGCTCCCTGAGGACTCTCCAAAAGCTGATCAGATGCCAGCATCATGCTTGTACAGCCTGCAGAACTGTGGGCCAAGCAGACCTCATTTTCTTATAAATTATCTGGCCTCAGGTATTTCTTCATAGCAATGCAAGAATAACCTAACATATTCATTTTTATGAATTTTTCTTATTTTTAAGTGAAAACAATTTTAGTTTACAAATATAGGTAAATTAGGGCCATACTATAAAAAGTGTTACTCTCTTGAATCAAGAGTTTGCAATTCTCTTCTTTCATCAAAAATTTACAAAGACTTAGTATTGCCTATATATTCATTAGGAAGCTGAAATTGTTTAAAACAAATATGTCAACAAAACCAAGAATAAAATATAATAAAAGAGAATGAGCTCACAAAGGCAAGATAGGTCTGACAAAATTGTAATCCAGATGGAAGGCAACAGGCAACTTATTCTAGGGAACAAGTTCGGGAATAAATAGGAATATAAAAAGTGAAGAAAAATGTGAATTATTAATACAAAGACTTGATGTATTAACTGCCTATATTGGATGCAAAGGAGTAGGGGTAATGCAAATGCCAAGGCTAAGGGACTAATCAAATAAAGATCTCATAAATGGAAAGTGTGAATACACCTTCAATAAGTATTTGAATTAGCAATCAAGAACTCCCATGCTAAAAAAGTTCCAGCTCAAAATATCTTCACTAGTGAATTCCACAAAAATATTTAACAAGAGCTCAGCTCTAAGGGAAAAGGAAAGGGACCTTGTGTGAACAATGTAATGTCCTCAATAAGTCTCAAAACCACAGCTCACTACAGTACTTGTGCTCATGAAGGCAAAGAAGCCCACCTTGACTTCAGATCCTAGCAGTCTTCCAGATTGGGTAGGGATCAGAGAACACGCCCACCTGCCTTTTCCATAGATTACTAAGTCTCTTAGTGTTTGACCTTTGCCAGCTTCTTACTTTATTTGTGTGTATGTGTGTGTGTGTGTGTGTGTGTGTGAGTTATAAATTCTTCCTATGAGTTGACCAGTAAACTCCATTACTCTCTCTTTAACACTCTATTTGTCCTATAATTATTCACCTGTAATATTGGCTCTTCCTTTGAGGATAACTGGTCATTGACTTCTTTGTCAGCCAACTGGAAATCTCTGATGCCTCAGGCTGTGGAAAGGTCTGAGAGATGTATGGTGGCTTAGACTCCACTCTTTGGTACAAAGGAGGACAATGTTGAGTGGGGCTTAACTGGGCCTGCCTATCCTCTGGTCTCCCAACAGCAGGTGCAAGTACCACCACTGATGGGGGTGGCAGGAGAGTTACATAGGCTCTGTAAGATTTCCTTGGTTATAAATAGCCTTAGTATGGTGGTTTTCTCAAATGCCCGCTGTACTAGCAATGTACTGGGCTTGTGAATACACTCAAGACCTTCTGATTAGCTGGGATAATGTGAGTATGGTGTTAGCTGAGATAAGACAAAAGTTTTCTCCTTCACAAATGCTGTGTTATTTTGCCAGAGGATGAAATAGGCTGTGCCCACTGGTTTCCAGCTAGGAGATGTTTCTTGTGGGAGAGAGCCACCTACAGTGGTAGCTGTAGGATCTGTGCTTGGCTTATATTTCCCAGGGGAACATGTAAAAGAATGAAATATGGTTTTGGCTGGGCATGGTGGCTCACGCCCATAATCTGAGCACTTTGGGAGGCCGAGGCGGGTGGATTACAAGGTCAAGAGATCAAGACCATCCTGGTCAACATGGTGAAATCCCGTCTCTCTAAAAATACAAAAAATTAGCTGGGCCTGGTGGCACATGCCTGTAGTCCCAGCTACTTGGGATGCTGAGGCAGAATTGCCTGAACCCAGGAGGCAGAGGTTGCGGTGAGCCAAGTTTGTGCCATTGCACTCCAGCCTGGGTAACAAGAGAGAAACTGTCTCAAAAAAAAAAAAGAATAGAAAAAAGAAATATGATTTCTCTATTTCACCATATACAGCAATTCATTCAAGACAGACTAAAGACATTTATGAGACTTGAAATCATAAAAATTCTAGACAAAACCCTAGAAAAAGCTCTTCTGAGCTTTGGTATAGGCTAAGGATTTATAAGTCAGTGTTTAAAAGCAATTTCAACAAAAAAAGTTGAAATAGGACCTAAGTAAACTAAAGAGCTTTCTGCACAGTAAAAGAAATGACAAGCAGAGTAAATGTACAACCTACAGAATGAGAGAAAATATTGTCAAAATATACCTTCAACAAAGGACTATTTTTTAGAATCTACAAGGAGCTCAAAACAGCAGGAAAAGAAACCCAAGTAATCTTGTTAAAAAGTGGGCAAATAACCTGAACAGAAATTTTTCAAAAGAAGGTATACAAATGGAGAGTGGAGCAGGATGGCAGAATAGAATGCTTCACTGATTATTCCTCCTGCAAGGACATCAATTTAACAGCTCTTTAGACTAAATGTACTTTCATGAAACCAAAATCAGATGGACCTAGATTTAAATGTATATCATTGAAAGAGGAACTGAACAGGTAGAAAAAATAGTACTGAATTACTGACAGCCTCTTTTCCCCTGGAAGCAGTGGCATGGTTCAGAGAGCATTTCTTAATATAAGCATCGCAATTGTAGAGCATAAAATCAGTGCTGTTCTGTTATGGAGAAAGGAAAACCAGCCCAAATTCAGCTAATGCCCACTGATGCATTTAAACCAGCCCTGGCCAAAGGTGAACCTTTGAAACCAGTAGTTGGAACTGAGTTTCTACAAGCCTCATCACTGTGGGCTATAGAACTCTGGAACTGTAAATAAACTTGAAAGGCAGTCTAAGCTCCAAGGACTATAACTTTTATGTGAGTCCTAGTGCTGAATTGGGTGCAGAGACCGTAGCCTGGGGATGGGGTTGTGCAACCTACTGAGACACCAGATGTGGATGGGTAAGGCAATACTATCATCCTCCATCTCCTAACCCCAAGCTGCCCAGCTTTCACTTCCAAAAGAGACTCCACTGCCTTTAGAAAGGAAAGGGAAGAGTGAGAAGGACTGCATTTTGTGGTCTGAGTGCCAGCTGGGCTATGGTAGAGCAGAGCACCAAGTAGACTTCTAAGGTTTTTGACTAGTCTTGAGCTTCTGGGTAGTACCTCTGGACATGCGTGGGGACTGAAGGAACTTGCTGAACTGAAGGGAAGGACACAGGCCTGGCTGCATTCACCACCAGCTGATTGTAGAACCCCAGATCCTTGAAAACATGGCAGTAGCTAGGGAGTAGTTACAGCAGGCTTTGGACAAGATCCAGTGCTCTGCTGACTTTAAGCCTAACCCTGTGAAGTCACAGTGGTGGTGGGTGCTTGTGTTACTTCATCTTCAGCTTTGGTTGGCTCAGAACAGAGAGAGAGAGACTTTGTTTATTTGGGAGAAACTAAGGGAAGAGAACAAGGGTTTCTGCCTGGTAATCTGGAGAATTCTCTTGGAGCTTGTCCAAGATTATCAAGGCAGTACATCTACAAGTCTTCAAGAACCACTGCATTATTGGGCTTGGAGTGCCCCTAAAGCAGATACAGCTTAGATTACTACACAACTGATTTCCCATTTATTAGAAAAAACTGCAATTCACTGCCAGTGCAGTATTCTAGGGGCAAATCGAAAACAGGTTCAGTCCTTTCTAATATCTGGAAAGCCTCCCAAGAAGGATGGATACAAAAAAAATCCCAGACTTCAAACATGACAAAAATATACAACTCTTGAATGTTCAGCTGCAGATGAACATCTACAGGTATAAAGAAAATCCAGCTAAAAGAACATGTGCTAACCCAATGCAAAAAAATTAAGAATCTAGAAAAAAG